TCTGCTCCGTCCCATGGACGTTTGAATTCGAGCCCAACTGGTCATATTGAGGTGAGTAATATTAGAAATGTTTCAATGAATCTCATCGTTATAATGGGATAGTTTTAGAAGCAGATTGGCTTTTAGTTATACTATATTGCTATTTGGAAGCTCATGCTGTTATGTTACTCGCATAATTGCTTTATTCTTATAACCATTCTCCACCTTCATTGTTGCACATTAACCGTATCAATCAGTGAAACTAAGAAATTTCTTGTTTTAGGTGTTCACAACGTGATAGTTTCTTCGTATGCCGTATTGGATGTGCCCGTGAATATTGTAAAGGGTATGCTCTTAATTGTTTATGTAATACAAGGAATACAGTATTTAAGTATTCTCCAAAATTATTATGCGCTACCATTATGGTCGTATTGTCATTTCATTGAACGACAGTATACGTTCAATATGTACTATTACCATTGTGAAAGGCAACGGTATATGCTTCACTTCAGGAGTTCGATCTTATACAAGGATAGAAGAGTGAAGGTTCATTGGACACAACGACGGTGAGTTACTTAATGCACAAAGTTAAAAGCTATTTAATTTGATAATTTTACCTACTACACAATCTTGCATATAGGAATGCATCTTCTTTCGAAATTTTTTAAAAAACAAGGAGAGTCCATTTGTATATGATATCACTAAACTATAGTGTACTTATTGTCTATGTACAAACTAAATTGTATGGCTAATTATTATGAATATAACTTAGGCGCGTTCAGGAGACGGACTAAAATCCTATTCTAGTCTTGCCGAAAAAACAATTTTGTGGAAAAGTAAGGCGACTAGTCATGATATCGAATGTAAGTGTAAAGTTAGGGAAAGCCTAAGTCAACTCATAAGAGGTAGTGTTTTTAAGATTGCTGGTTTGGACATTGAAAATATTGACCAAGCTGCTCGTGCCGTCAAACACCAAGAGGTCATCAATAAAACAGTTTTGTCTAAGCATGTTCGCATCTTGTTCCTACCAAACCCAGAAAAATTGAGTTGCACGGAGTTGGCAAAAATGGTCTTACATGATATTGTAAGGTAATAATTTTATATTTACATCAATTAATTGTAAATAATTGTTGTTAATCCTATTTATATAGGTACGAGAACCCTGCTGATATCCATGCATTAGCATGGATTAGAGGTGCAGGCACAAACAAAGATGGAACAGTGAACATCAGAGTGAGGTTCCCTTATGGGGTTAAAAACAACTAAACACTCCATGAATATATTAGTTTTAGGCTGAAATGAGTTACTCATTTTGGGAATATTTCATTACCAAAGGAAGGAATTTTCTGCAAAGTTACAACCGTTCCCACAAGTGTCATGTAAAACTACAACGTGAGCGTACCATACTGATAGGAGACATGGATAATCTGAGGTATACTAAGAAGATGTAAAAGAAAAGATATTCTGATTTCATAATGACAGACTAAGGTATTGTACTTATAGTTTGTATTTGCGTGCAAAAATACGTGATTATTGTTCCGACCATCGATACCCCATACCGGAGATAAATGTAAAAAATGGCTTCATCACGATGAAGAGCAAAACGGCTACAGAATCGGTGGTAAGTAAACAATAACTCAAAATCTCACAGTGGTTGATATGAGCCATTAAGACTATGAAGGCTACCATATTAGCTATCAAACTTGGGTGGTCATATACAGACTGGAAGGGCATACCCATTGTCAAATTGCTAACTGAAGAGGAACAAAAGGATTACCAAGTAGGTTCATTTATAAGAGTAATAAATTCCTTACCAGAAATAAATTCATTAGTGCGGTGTACATCTAAAATATAGGAAAATTCTTCAGGACGGTAAAATCCCTTGGAAAAGTACAACGATAGAGTCGATGTTGTCATTGGAATCCAACTCAGTCGAAGATACAAATGAAGGGGTTGGTCTAATATAAATCAAAGAAGAGATATATAACGAAATGTAACCGTTCAGGATCGTCGCAATCGTAAAAGGGAAGGAACTAATGAGGAGGAGATAAATCCCAAGATACCTCGTAGGGCTAAAGCCTAGGAGGCTGCGAAGAAATGTGCAAAGATCATCAAGAATTTTGTGTCAGATCCCTATAGAAGATAGGTTTTGTGCTAACTTCGAAGGACGGAGCTATAGCTGGGCTGTCATATCAATCGATCTATATGCTAGAAAGCTTTTCTTGTACTTTCACAGTTTTATCTTTAGGATGATCTTTTGAGAATGACTTTCCAGGCTGAGTTATGTTGTCATTCTTAGCGAATTCGTCCTCCGCTCCAATTGAATAACTTCCTGTTTGCGACCCTGTTCAACAACTCGTCTCGGAAACTCGCCAATAGCCTACACGATAAACGTAGGTACTCCGTTGATAATAAATCTATAATCTACCGTTTATAGAAAAACGGAGAATTCCTACCGTGAGCAAATTTCGCGTGGCGAAGAAAATACGATCAAGAGTTAAGCGTTCAGTACCCACAAGTCAAGGAAAGAACAAGGCATTTTCGGCTTTTTGCTGGCATTCTTGAAATTATGAGGAATGTCGAGCTCATAAAATGCCGCTTATACTTTTGTAGATTTTCAAAATAGTAAATATCGATCCGTAGACAAATCATTGGTGGAATTCCAATTTTGGAAAAAAAGAGAGGAACTCTACCGGGTATTTATTGAGGATAAATTGCACATGTAAGGGTTTTTTTGATTAGCTATCAGAAATAATCAACCAACTACGAGCGAAGATTCTTTTAGCCTAAAAACAAAAAGTCTGACTGATTCGTGTTACACGTCTTGTTCCCTAAAAAGGTAGCCGGTGAAGCGACTAAATTGAAGAACCTGTATTCAGTTAATCCATTTATAGCTCCCAACACTGCTGCCATAATGTCCGGTGGAGCGTAATTCCAGAGGGTATTTGTTCCGAATGCTACAAGGATGGTGCCTTTCGATGTTGGATCGTTGACGAACTCAACATACTCTCTTGGGAGCTCCTTTTGTTGCGGGCAGTGGAACCCAACTTCCACTAAACCCGTGCTCACTAAAAGAAACCTTTCCAATATTTTGAATAAAATTTCAAACGACCAAGCTTCTAACCTGGTAAAGGATAAACCAGTGAGTCGATGTCATCCAGGAAAAAGGAAGCCGACTGTGTTGCCAGTTTTGAAAAATCAAAGTTGTAGATGCCAATTTTGTGCAGTCCCTGAATTGATTACGACTATGAACCGGAACTGGTATAGCCATAAAGCTTTGTCAGGTAATTCTTTCAGATAATAGTGCCGTGCTGGGTTTACACATAGTAGTTTAAACTCATAATGACGGTGAATGAATGAGTTTCAGCGCAAGATAGTGTGGTCAAGATGTCCCACATTGCAGCACTGAGCAAGTTTTTCAGCCAAATGGCTTTATGGGTGGTAACTTCGCATTGTTTTTGTTTCAACTCAGCTTTAATCCGCAAAGTTACTGCAAGTTACTATTCACAATAGGTCGTCGTGGGTCCAGCAAGGGTCCGAATGCCATTTTCCCAGAAAGTAGAAGTTCCGAATCTCATGCTAACAATAAGCACTGAATGCCCATTTTCCTGTATAAGCCACACGGGACTATTGTCCTTCTAGATATGTCAGCAGTCCTCTAGGGATATTCAGCAAATACGATGGGTGAATGAGAACCTCTGAAATTTGTTTACTGTTTCCTGACCTTTCCTTCCCGACAAGTGGTCGTGAGTTCCCATCTTATGCGCGATCAATTTATGAGCATCCACAAGAAGCGCGATCCGAAGCAAATTTACGCAACTGCAAGCAGTATCTGTCCACGTCAACTGTAGTAATATCACTCAGTCTAGTTAATTAGCCACCTTGCTGGCGACCAGGCAACCTACGTTTACGATATCAACGGGGGGAGATCGTACCTGAGAAGTTGGTAGGATGGGGTCGCTAACGCCACTTTATGGTTCGCTTGAAATCACGTGTGGGATTGAGGTGAAACTAAGATTTCGTGGGTAGTAGGCTGGGCGGGTGAAGGGCGCGCAGGATGAAAATTTGCCGTTTCGGCGCGATATGGAAGTAGTGGGAGTATAGGTAAAAAATGGGTTGAAATGGTGCCGTTTCAGAGTGACTATATACCCCCCCCGCTCGACGGCATTTTTGGAGGAAAAAGTGGGCGGGGTTTTGATGGAAGATGGAGATGGTGGAGGTGGGGAAAAGGGGGTCGTATCAAATCCACCTTGGGGGAGGGGGTCGTAAAAAATTTTCGAAAAGTAACAACGGCGAATTTAGGCAGACTCCGCTTGCGACATCACAAATCAAGACGTAAGAGGTGACCAAGTTTGAATTCGGGTCAGGTTAAAGTAGCTATATTCGTTGTTTTCCTGCAAAACTGACAAACCTATAAAGGAAATGGATAAACTGTTAGGTACGATTGAAAATCAAAAAAGAGAAATCTTGCTATTAACAAAGGCATAGTTCTGGTTAGATTTCGTGTGGAATATGCAGAAAATGACAAAGAAGACACGAAATCCATGGATGCTCGTATAAGAACACCGAATTCACTTCATTTTTAAGCAAACAGCAGAAGAAAAATATTGACTCGAAAACCAGGCCTCGCCACCCAAATTAGGGTTGCAGTATTTTCGTTTTTCACGTTTTGCTTTGTTTTTTTTGAAACGTTTCGTTTCACTTATAAAGCATCGGGAGTCAAACGCAGATGTTTTGTTAACATCCAGAAACGAAGCTGAATGGCCATGCTTTGATCTATTTAATACAAGACTCTAGTCCCCATCAATGTGCCGCTTTCCAGTATCGAAAAATGCTGTTTTCGAAAATCTCGAAAATAGCCTTCGTAGAAAATTTTTGAGGGTTACGGAACCAATACAACCTGCGTCATGAAAATTACGAGCGCATGGTACAAACATTGAACAAAAAGTATATAAACAAAAGTCAAATCGAGCTCGAATTGTTCAGCAGGTCAGTAGCCTTCCACAAGTGAATAAGAGCGCCAAGTGAAAAGAATACACGTATGACAGCATCTGCATAGTGTTAGACCAAAAGCTTGTCAACTGAACAGGATAACGTCCAACAAAATGCGATGTGAACGAAGATGATATCCAAAAGCTCCCTCATACCACCGTTCAATCGGTAATGATAAAATTATAACAACTGTGAATAAAATAAAGCACAGCGTAGCTTCACTTTCCCTGTAAATCTTCAGCATAATTCAGGTTATTGATCTAATATTTCTCATAGGCATGAAATAACTTCAAATTCTCTTGATTGATAACACTGTCAATGTCGTATTTTTCACTGAGATGTTTGCCTATGCTTCGTGCTGATGATTTCCGTATTCATTCCTCCTTAAGATGTTGATGTTCGCGCGAAAATCAACACATCGGCGACAACTTAAAGGAATCTTGCGCGGAAAATTCTTGCACTCTTTCCTAACATGAATATGTCAGTTGTGATCACTGGAAATAGCACACAAAGTTTCACGCATGAAGATTCGGTTTCTGAAGAGAAACAAACGTACAAAAACTACACGTTATGGACCATCGAAGGACCAGGAGGCAGAGCCAGGCGAGGCATGGAAAGAAGACGGCGTTTGGCCGGCTACGTACCAGGCGACGCAATGAGAGAATCGGGTTAAAGCGCGCGATTTCGGAGATGGAGACAAATCGATCGATGGAATAGGATGGAGTAGAAGTGTAAGATGTGAATGCAACGAAGCAGAAGGCCAGAAAGAGCTTCTAGTGAATGCACTCCAAGAACCAAGTTTGAGCATCCCCGTCGCCAGCATTCGTGAAAGACGTCCGTGGGCAATTCGAACGCGTAGCAGCCTTTTCGAGTTTTCGAATTTCTAATCAAAACGAAAGCAATACTTCAGTTCTTTTCACTATTATCGTGGATAATGAGTCTCAAGCCAGTGATTTATGGCTGAAATAGAATCATTTTTCCGCGCAAGATTCCTTTAATATCGCCGGTAGTTTCTCGACTTGTTCATGGGATAAGGGGCATGCAAAGGTGCATTTTGCAGAGCCTTCAAATGTTATATGTATTTTCTTGTGCCATTTCGATCCTTTTACCCTCAGTTCTGCATAGTTAAATTTTTTCGAATTACTTTTCCTTCGTTTAAAACGCGCTTGAGGTCTCCAGTAAGTATATCCGCGTGACTTACGACATTCGATTTGAAATGGATGATCATGATGATGTCACGATAGAAGACTTGATGACAACTGTCATGAACTCTTCGTTCATGACGTTCCTACGGTTCTCCGCCCATCGTTTCTAGGCGCGTTACAGCGGCTAAGGGGCGGTGACTGGGAGGCGCAGACTCCCACGCGAGCGGACGTATTCATGACTGGGTTCGGTTCCGCGGAGGTTCTGCCACGACGCAATCAGCTCAGCTTCACCGCACGTACTGAGGATCCCGTTCGTCCGCGCAGGGAGGTCGGGCGGTTTATTGAGACCAACGGACCCGCCATCCCCTGAGAGGAAGGGAGACAATCTCAAGTCAATTCTACTCGAAAGGAATAGTCAAAAGAGGTCAAATTCAATCATTTGGCATGTAGGATTAGGTTGATTACTGTATAGTGTTACTAGTATTAGTATTTGCTACTTAGTATTTGTATAGAAATAATAAATGTATGTCGCTCAATGTGTGGTGTAAAGCTAAAATAATGAACCACCTAGTAAAATGACATCTGAGGAGCGATGCCCTCAGAACAACAATGATAGAAACTGAAATTGCTGCGAAATCGTAGAAACCAACAGGAACAGCGAGGACGCAGATCGCCATCATTTCTTTTCCACGTTGTGCACTTAGCGAGAAAACAAGTACTTCCTCCGTAGCAATGTCAAGCCCCAATGGCTGTAGCAGAACGGCAAAAGTTATGCTCGAAAAGCGCCTATGTTGCAAATATTACAACAGCCACCACTCCAGCAAAGAATGCAGCAGAGGAAGCTGCCCTCCTTGCGGGCAAGTACACGACAGCAAGTTGTATTTTACCAACAGAAGTCCGAACACTTCTATCGTCACTGCGCAACTCATGTTTCATGTGCACCAGC